CACAGTCACTCACTCTTCCAGCCACCTACTGTCTTACTCACATATTGAGTTCCAACTGAATGCCGGGCCTGTGCCGGGGCTGAGCATCAGTCTTGCTCTCGGGCAGTTCACAGGGCAGGGAGGAGAGTGTTCACCACACCTAGTGAGACAGCCCCGGGGAGATGGTAGAAACTTCTGAAGGCAGGTGGCATCTCCCAGGAAGGGAAGGGACAAGAATCTACTTGGCCGAGGGGAGTCCGGGCAGGAAGAAGCAGAAGGAAGGCACCTCCCCTCTGTCCCTCCCAAGAGCCCTTAGGCTATCTCGGCTGGCCCCTGCCACCTGCTGCTTCTGCCGGCCTCCTTCTTTCCTAGGGGATTAACACTAGTGAGAAAGGGCAGGGCACTTGGTCCAAGAACCAGGGCTCTAGGGTCCAGGGCCAATTCTCCTGCTCACTGGCTGGGTGACATTGTGAAGGACATTGTGAAGAGGGAGGGCTTCTCGGAGCCACACAGTTCTAGAAGGGTCCTGGCCCCTGGCCCCAGCCCACTGGAGCCCTTGGACCACTCCCCAGCCCAGTCAGCAGGACAGGGTGAAGCATGGCTGCACCCTCCCACCTTCCCCGACTGAGCCGTGAGAGGCTTCAACTCTCCCCTGGCACAGGGTGGGTGCTGAGACCCTGCCACTCTCTGTGAGGGGCTGGAGAAGCCTGTCATCCAGGGGTCCCCCCCATTCTGCTGTATTTCTTGCCCACGTATGCCTCAGGGATGCTGTCTGATTCCAGCCCCACCCCTCTCCTTTCTAGGTGTCCCCAGGAGTGAGCAAGGGAGGTCTCAGACAAGGTCCCCAATTCCAGACAGAAGGACCCTATAAGGTAGAGTCAAAAGTCCCCAATTTCCAGGTCAGATGGCTGAAGTCCAGAATGCGAGCCTGTCTGAGGCCACGGGTGAGTTCAAACCAGACCCAGTGCCGGAACCCATGCTCTAACCCAGGCCAGGGCCGCATGCCAGGTGTGTTCGGGGGGGTATATCTGTGCTTTCAGCTCAAGAAAGGCCCCTGGGATGCACAGTGCTCAGGGGCCGGGGGGTTGCTGCTCTCCAGGGACCAGAGGGTTGAGGAGCATCACAGCAAGAGGAGCAGGGTTGCCTTCCCCACCTGAGCCCGAAAGGGGTGATTGCCTGGAATCCTTCAACATTCCAAGAAAACGCTATGGGGTTTGACCGGTCAATGAGGTCCTCAGTGCCACACAGGGTCCCTCTTGGTCCCTGGCAATGCTTGCGTGCCCCACCTGAGCTCGGCACTCAACCCCCTCCCAGGGGGGAAGAAGGGAGACCTGGTGGGTGAGCCATGACTCTCAGCACTTCCCTCCGGGGGTTCACAAAGCCGGAGGGTCTCCACCAGCACATCTAGGCACTCACATGCAGGAAGCCACCTAGGTTGCAAAGGGCGTCCCGGACACCTGCCCAGTACCCCCCACCCTGGGCTTGCTCAGCGCCCATGCAGAGAAGCTTACGACTCTCAGATGACGCTGTTAGAAACATCTCGAGGCACAATGGGCTTCCCTTCAGCCTCCTCTTAGGTCGAGGCCACAGAATGTTAGGTACTAACAATCTGGGATGGGCATGGCCGGAAAGCAGGAAGGACAGAGAGCAGACGCCATGCAAGTGGCAGGGGACCTGCCTGTGGCCCTAACTCTCCCTTCCGGTAGGCCCCCATCTCCCCATCTGTGCCCTAAGGGGCTGGGCTCCTAGGGCTCCAGTGCTGATCCTCATCTGCCAGCGAACTGGGCAGGAGAAGAGAAGAGAGGGGAGGGTGGGGAAGGGGAGGGAGAGGAGGAGAGGAGAGGTGACCCATGCAAAGCCCAGGCTGTGTGGGGACAGGCCTGGGGACTGCTGCTGGGCTCAGAGCAGGGCAGCCAAGGGAGAGACTGCAGCCTGGGGAGGGCCTGGGGCATCACTGGCCATGGGGGACACCACAGACAGAGGCCTGAAGCGGGGGCATCAGATGCCAAACCAGGTTGCATCTGGAACCTTCAGAAAGGCTGGCAGTCCGTAGGCCCTGGGCAGGGGGAGGTGTGGCTGGGTGGACCCTGGCCAGGGACAGGGCCTCCGATGAAATCCCGCTAATGGGGCAGCTTGGACCCAGATCCCTCACCACCCCCGCCCCCCGCAACAATGAAATCCTGCTAATGGA